GCAGTCGCTGCCATTATGGAGACTCTTAAAGAGCTAAGCTGAAGGCTGGCTGCACCCAGTGTTTTAGTTGGAGTTAATGATTTGTTTAATCTCTATAAGCAGGTGTCGGGTGGCCGTGGGGTGAGCTTAGGGGATGTCATTTCTCAAGGTTCTTCTGTTACCCAAGACGGACTTACAGTGTTTTTCGCGAATTTTTCTTTTCCTGAACATTTGCCACTGGTGTTCTTCAAGAAATTGGACCGCAAAGATAAAGATGAATGTATGATGGTATTATTTGGAGCAGTTTTAAGCCAATTATTGTCTGATAATAATCGATTTTGCTTAAAAAATTACAGTTTCGTTTAGACCCATCCCAGCATAAGTGAAGCAGAGGTGTAACTTATTATTCACTTCTGTTAGTTACACACAAGAACATTGTGTAATTGTAAGATTCAGTTTATTTTCTGTTGTGTGATTACTGTGATTAAGATTTGTTTTTATTGTTGTCTGCAGTTTTGGCATTCTATAAGAAACGCACACTGTAACTTGACCTAAAAGGCTTGGTATTTACCACATCAGCAGAATATCTTGTAGCAGTAAATTGCCTGGAACGTGTTTACCCCTGTGCAGCCTTATGTGATACAGAAATCAATGTATTCAGTGTAAACCTTTTGTAATTTCCTACAAGAGGAATTGAACTTAGGACCCACAGATGTAGCTATTTTAGAAGTCCCCCGTGTGCTCTCTGAATGATTGTTGCTGGCCAAGAGGAACTGTAGACCAGATGAACTGTCACACCCACTATACTTATTATGGGCTCAGCAGAAGAAAATAGATCAATGGCAATCTGGTGAGCAGATAACAAGCATAAATTCAGCAATATTTCTATAGTCTTTTGAAATAGAATTAAGTGATTCCCCTCCTTCCCTGTGAAATAGTTTTTTGTAGTCATGATCAAAGAATTGAGAATTGTTGCCCAACTCTGTAGCCTCTTTTAGTTCATTGTTTTAGTTTGGCTTGATTCACTGCTGTTTGTTAAATCCCATCTCTCTCACCAACCCCCTGGACAAAATAGTAGGCAGATAATTTTAGCAGGCAAAGCTCAGACAAACCAAATGTGCCCTAAATGTAAAGCATAAAAATGCAAAACAATAGCCAAAATAGACTGTCGGCTGGAAAACAACAAGATAGAGATACAGACGTTCTCTCAGGAGTTTGTGGAGACGGAACAGCTGCTTAAAGATGAACATCAGATATTTGTGAGGAGTCTCCATTTTCAGACACGTTAGCCTTAACTACTTGATTAGTCACAGTAGCTTGATAGCTTTGTGTTTTTGAAACTTTGTTTGGAATCTTCCTGGGCCCTAGTCATAAAAAATTCATATGAACAGTGTACAAACCTATGCATAAGTGCAGACTTTTAAATTGCACTATAGAGATAAAGGGTACTTCTTACAAATGCCCTTGTTTTTATGGAAGGTATTTGGTGAAATGTTTAATAACCGTTTCCTGCACAAGTTTATTCAAACAGAAAAGCCTCTGAAACAACACTTGCACTTTAAGTGGTTACACAGGTCTACTCAGGTGGCAGAACACGTTTGCTACTTTAGACCAAACTAACTAGCTTTGCTTGACAGTCACACCCAAGAGGAAGTTCTTAAAGTATGGTGTAATGTTACAGGGCTGTCCAAGAATCCAAAGCAACCACTGGAGCGATTGTATCCTGAGAAGATGCAGTAAAACTGAGCCAACTTCCTTATTTCTGTAATGCCCATCCTTGCATCACATGAGGAAAAAAACCTCTGAAACGGAAGTTAGAATAAAGTATGTTTAACTAGTATGTTTAACCATAAACTATGATACTCCAGTTCAGTCTGCACACTGTAATTCTATCTGTCACCTAAACCTTTTTGGCTCAAGCCTCTTATTCTCTATAGGTTCAAGTGACTCAGCATTGCCAGTTTTCTGAAACAACGCTGGAGTCTGCCTCCCACATCAGTTTAAGTGATGGCACATTATCTCTGAAAAGGTTTTGTGAAATCACATTGGCATCAATGGGATACAAGTTTGCAACCACCTGGTATAATCCCCAAGCTCAGTCGCAAAAATCAAACAACAATCACCTGCATAACTGATGAAACTGCAGATGAAAAACATTTAAAAGATAGATAAAAATGTCAGCAAGGGCCTTTTCTTCAAAAGGTTCTCATTTTTAGATTCAGGTAGAAGATTTACCCTGACAAATCAGGGTGTCATAAGGGCTTTCCCCTCCCTGAAGGACTGTGAAGAAGTGGCCATTACAGTGGCAGACGAAGCTGTGCAGCTGCCAGGTGTGAATGTGTCGAGAATGTAAAGCAGGATGGAGCTGATAAAGGGCACAGAAACCTTCCTCGGATGAATAAATGTTATCAACTCTGTCCTCAACAGTGAACGCTGTGAATGTAGCACAGCACATACTTTCTACCAAACATTTCCTTGTTGTGTAATGAGTTAGGTCATATAGTGGTCACTAAGTTTTTACGAAAGTAAAATGACTGTTGCCCAAACAACTGCAACAGTCAACATAGCTGTCAGTCAAAATGCCAAACCATGCCTTCTCATGTACTGTGGAGCAGTCATAAAGGCAGCACCAGCTGATGTCAAATGTCCAAAATATCAAAATCTAACAGGAGCTCTGGGCTGGTTGGGGACATTGTGTGACAGTCTTATCAGTTGAAGTTGTGCATGTGGTGAGGAAGCTGGTCCCTGGCCCAGTGCACTTAAGGCAAGCGGATTAGACTCCAGAGTATTATTAGAGCTACTGATTATCCCCTTACCTGATCCGCCTAATTCTAGCTCGAGCCTATTTATTTAGCAGAAAAGTGGAAAAATGTTTGGATTGGGCTGCAGAAAGTGAATTGGCCTCGCTGCGCTTCAGCGCTCTGTCGAGTCCAACATTGACTCTTTTGGAGTTCTCTGCTGAACTCATTAGGTCCTGGCCTTTTGTCGCCGCCTCCCCCGCTGTGGGGTTCATGTGATTAATGCACTGCTGACCACTGAGGCCAGCAGCAAGGACTTGTTTTAGTGCCAGGGAACAGCAAACAAAAGAAAATTGTCTCTGCAAATAACCGAGGAGAATACAGGCTCTCAAAGCCGACCGGTCCCTTGACTCATTGATGAATGCAAGCAGGCCAATATCTCCTTAAGAAAGTTCAACAAAAAGGTTTCCAATCCATTCGTCCTCAAGTCTATAGCTGTAATACATTTGTTTGGATGTAATTACACACCCAATGCTTCTGACCTTGTGGCCAGAAAACAGCTTTGAGGCCTGTGTCCCAGACTGAGAGTGGAGAATCAAACGTGAACATGAGCCGGTAAATCCTGCTAACTGATCTTCCCGGCATATAAACCCATGTAGAAGAAGCAAAGTAGTGCTTTCGGTGGTTTGCTTTCTTACTTTAAAGCTCACAAAAAGTTTGCTGCAGCTATCTGGACAAACAAACAAAGTTAAGGAAGCGTCATCTTTGGTTGGATGATGAGTGTGTGTGTGTGTGTGTTTCCACGTGTGATTCAGTGTGTGTCTGCTCTGTACTCATGCACTGTTAACCTCCCACTGAGTGTTGGGGTCGCTGCCAGGGTCAAGCTTATCTGCCACCTTGTCGACAACAATGTTCTGATGCTGCTTGAGCTGATCTGCGTGCTTTTTTGTGAAGAAAAAGTTACCTTTTGTTTAGTGCTGTGTTATCCAGATGAACGTGTTTGCAGCCTTTTATTCAAGCAAAACACTAACGCAGCTTATGTCAGTAAGTAAACAACAGCAGACGTTTTAGAGGACAGAACAGCCTCTGTGCCTCGCAGATTACTGACTGCTAATAGCAGTTGGCTAGCTTTATCCATAGTATGAAAACCCCGAGATAGTACTTAGTAGAGCTTATCAATTAATCTACTGATTATATTTCAGATTAACAGATAATGCACGTCTATAAACGGTTACAAACGGTAAAAATGCTTCTAATTTTAACGCATCATATCCTTTTATTTGAGGAAATGGAACTTGTAAAAGTTGCTGTAAGAAATACGTTAAACAGTTTTTTGATTATCAAAATAGCTGCTGAATAATAATTTGTCTCGTGTGTCAGAATATACCGATAATGACGATAACTATGATATTAAAAAAAAAAAAAAGAAACAATAATATTTAATCAAATGATATTACCCCAGTGCCAGTAACTGTCAGGTTGGCACTCCAACTTGGGAACAGTATATAGTACAGTTACAGATGCTCTCTCAACTTCCCTACTTTTGCAAGTTATTAATTTACCAAAAATGAGACACACAATAAACCAGATTAAAGGTGACTTTGACCTTGACATTTTTTTCACAGATGTTTTATTAATATTGTTATTGTGAAATTATATGGCCACAATAATCCTGTGAAAATCTGATACAGTGACACCAAATTCTGTCGAACTAGTCGAACTGATTAATCGATTAATCATTGCTACCCCAGAATAGAAGTTCAATGCTTTACTGCATGTCTACAGGCTTGATGCTACATTTTTCTGGGCAGATATTGTACAGTTGACTTTTCGTACATTTGATATCAAAAGTTGCTTGTAACCCTTGAACGTACAGAGGATTATTGCCAGCTGCAGAAGGAAGGGTTTTTTTTTTTTTTTTACTGCAAAGCTCTGATAAAGCTGACCTACTTTTTGGTCAGAAAACACAAGCGAAGCCTGTAACAGCTAAAAAGTCAGCCATTGCCCTCAAGGGTTGGTGGTGACCAAAACAGAGTTAAAATTAGATCTTCCTGGGACAAGACAATATTAAATGTTGATGTAGTTCTGTGTTTGCTGCTAATCTGGCAAGTGTTTCTATATCGACTTTGAAATATACTTCTGGTGTTTTTACAGCTTGTTGCACTTCCTCAAGTTGCAGTAGAAGTCTTTTACTGCTTTATGGGTGTTGTTTTGTGTCACAGTCTAGATAGTAGCTTTACTTACCACACAGCGTTAACCTGCAATTTGTTCTTTTCTTTACAGTGTCCAGGGACATGAAACTCAATCCACAGCAAGCTCCATTGTATGTAAGTATAACTAATTATACTAGAGCTTGCATCAAAGCTGTTTTGCCAACACAGTTGGATTTTCACACCACTACACTTTGTCAGTCCACCCACTCAGGTGTTTTTGCTTCTTAGCACGACTGTGTATGTATGGTGCAGATGTGTCTGGATACCTCTTTGTTAAATATGTTTGTGTGATAAACTTAAACCTTTATCAGTGTTATTATAATATGGTGGCTCTTTGTAATTCCTGAAATAACTACCTGGCTGCAACCTGAATGTAGGCTTAATTAACTACAAATGTGCAGAAGTTCAGGACTAGATAGCGGTGAAGACAACATCAAACTGCATGCAGGTCAGCTGGCTGTTTAATGTTTGCAGACTGGCAAACATTTACAACGGTTTGAACTGTACTTACTTACCTCTGTTGTGTGTTCAGTGTTTATATTTTGCATGATGACACACTGGTAATATTACAAAAATAGCGCCACATGCCGGGGCAACAGCAAGGCTACTCACAAGACAATATAAAGATTTTTTTTTTTTTTTAACCGGCTTTTTTTTCTTCCGGCCCGTTTCTTGTAACATTTTTGTATGATGGCTGCGGTCTGGTTCTTCCATCCATGAAAACGTCTTGCTCCAATCATTGATTTGTTTTTGGTGGGGGCACATATCAGTAACACAAACATAGTGTGCCTTGGGAGTTTATGCATGTAGCAGCCGTAGCTACAATCAACTTGACATAGATGTTGGAATGAACACCCAACAACCTTTTCTCTAAGCATCCTGTTGTTCCAAAGGGTCATGTTAAAAAATTCTGTATTTTTGCAGTTTTTGATTGACAGTATACCACTTATATATCCATCTATATTATACATCAGGATGGATGGACAGATGGGTGGTTGGGTGGATCCCTGCCATCCTTTACCTGCTAATTTTCCATATTTGGTGGGGATCCCCAGACTTTCTGTCTTCAGTTGTGAAACTTACACTGATACCCTTCCTTTGAAAACAGTGTTTTAGAATGAAAACTATCTGATCCAGACAAGCATTTTAGCACCATTTCACAAATACCTCCTTCTATAGGGATCTGAAACTTCCTATCCCATGACCATTCATGTACAACAGGCACGTGCATGTCGCTGTAAACAGGAATCGGTTGCTTAATTGTAGAAAACAGAGGAAGAACAACAGTGGCAAAAAGTGAGACCAAAGATTTGTTTTTGCTTGGACCCAATGGAAATCATGGCTGTTGTCTTTGTTTACTTCCGGTAAAGACTCACATGATATTTTGTAGTGTAATGAGTCAGGGAAGGACACAGTGACTCATCAGACCCAATGAGGAAATGAACATAGGTGTCTGCATCATCATTTCCAAAATTCTCACTTTTTGCACATTCACACTGAGACGCAATTTTTAAACTGAAATTTCGTCAGTGTTGCCAAAAGCAAGTAGTGTGGACGCTAGGTGTAAATGTCGCAAAAGACATTTTAAAACTAAAACATATTAGTGTGGTCGTAGACTTAAGCTTGATTTATATGTGTGATGAACCTATGCTGCAGGTATGGCATAGCTGCACACCTTGTGGCGTAGCCTGATGTGTAACATGTAACATGTTGTGGAGAAACAGACCACAAGAACTGTTGCTCCACTTGGTAGTAAAATGTTCTGTTTACAGAACATATTGATTTGCGTAAAAATAATGCCCCTGGCAAACAAAATTTAATTAAACAGCTGCAATTGAATCTGGATTGCTCATAATGCAAATACAGGAGACAGCATTCTGCCAGTGTAACCATATACAGTTTCCTTGTTATTGTAGCTCTACTGATCTGGGTGTAGACTCTGTCATGTGTTGTGGCTTCTCGCTCTCCTGTGTTGCTTTAATTTCAGTAGAAGTCACTCTTGTTGATCTATGATGGTTTGAAGTACATGAAGAAACTTAACACAGTGGCATTGAGAACCCCACAGCTAACTAGTGTTTTGGTGGTATAATTGCAGAGCAACAGGGACACACAAGTGCACCAAGCATAAATGCTCACAACTACGGATGCTACTTGTGTAGACTACGGTAAAGACTCTGCTTAGGTTCAACACAATGTTATAAATCAAGCTTTAGTCTTCTTTCAGGGTGTGTTCTCAGTCTATTGTGCTGGACTAATGCCTTTAGATGGAGGCACCTGGGTGGTCTGCTTACCAGTAAGGCCACATGAGGTGATTCAGGTGGAGCTTGTTGCTGAGGTCCTCTCAGATTGCTGAACTACCCACCGTGTCAAGCAGAACCAGTCGATAACCACCCTGTGGAGATTATCTGGGCAGTTTTAATTCTCTAGATACATTCTTTGTCACTGCCCAAAGCTTGTGACCACAGCAGGGGTTCAACTTCAACTTGCTTTCGGGAATATGAATGGCTCATATTCCCAATTGTCATCACAGGTCATACGGTGCAGCTTTCTGCCCCCAGTGCCCTTAACATCCTCTCAATGTTGTGTTGCCTTTACCAGTGCTTGTCAATGAATCCCCAAGATGCACGGCTTCACTGTTCAGAAATTTTCATATAGTTTTCAATAGAGTTCCAAGTAGTCTTACAGAGATCCTAAAATGTCTTCGGGTGCCACCGTTGCTCTTGTATTATTTATTACATATTTAATGACGTGTGTGGATTGGGGGACATTGCTGGGTCTTAGGTCTTAGTGGTCGTACTGGTCCCCTATCACTAGCAAGAGTGGAAGGCACACAGGAAATGAGACAAGTCAGAGGTGTGTGTGTGTGTGTGTGTGTGTGTGTGTGTGTGTGTGTTGGCCTCTAAAGGCTAGACTGGCTCACTCATTAACCACCCAGACAACCTTATCTGTGATTTACAGTCAGACTCTTCAGTGGAACCAGGCGGGCAGTCAGGCCTCATTAGACATCAGATTTTAGACACTTATCACAGCAGTTCACAGTGAGATAGCTCATAGGGGTTAAGTAGTCAGCCTGTAATTGTATCTCTAAAAAAATCACACAGCATAGTTTTGTGGACTTTGCCATTCAGAATGAGTAACAATGGCAGCCCCAGTTTGCAAGTGTACATTTCTACATCGCTAGCTGTAAAAACAACAAGTTTTAAGGAGGCAGAAGGTCAAGTCCTTGATGTTCTTGTAATATTACTTCTCTAAAGAAGGATTTTTAATGAGTAAGTGATGGGTAATGAAATTGAGTAAGGGCTGATTTTATTTTAGAGAGCAATGGGAGAGGTTGGGGGGAGGTTATATGATTTGTTGGGCAAAGGATAACTTGTGGGTGCTTTTTACAAAATGAGTTTTCTTTCAATAACAGTGAGGGACTCTGTTGTTCTGGCTGTGAGTAAACATGCTATTTACATTCCTGGCATTTAGCAGACAATGTTTTCCAGAGCGGCTTACAATTAAATGAGCAGGTAGGGGGTTCAGTCTCTAACACAGGACACATGACTGTGGGTGTGGCAGCAGTTGGCTGGACTGAACCTGTGAACTTTGTGCCAGCTGATGGACTACTGCTTCAGTGAGAAATGATGCTGTAGATGTCAGTAGCTTGTGTCAGTAGTTGAATTTGTTCTGGCAGCATTACATGTTAGTCCTGTGTGTCAATAAGAGCCGATTTAGCTGAAATCTCTGTAAATTGTCATTTAAATTTTATATTGGGAACAAAAACCGCGGCGTTGAATAAAAAATTTCAATATTCTGCCTCTGAGTTTGCTCTGCTCACCAGTAAAAATGTCTGAATGCCAGGATGAGCTGTGGGATGAATCACACTGTCAAACAAGTGCAACCATAAACCTTTAAGTTTGTGTCAGGGCAGCTCTTTATGGAACATCACCTATGACATCCTGTCCTAAGGATGCTTTTTTATTGTTATTATAGCAGTTTACATGCCACAGAAAGAACTAGAAGATACAAAGGCAGGTTTATTGCATTTAGGTAAAAGTGATGTGAAAAAAATCAAGCACTTAGGTTCCATGTGACGCCTTGGCAATTAGTTTGGGTGGTGAAGTGGAGCAAATCTCTAGATTGTGCTGCCTATAGTAAGAAAGCCAGCTAGGGGGACCGAACATTAATTTAAATTGCAAAATAAGTTCAAAAATCATAATTAAGAGCAGCATTGGTGAGAATTCATAACAGTATATGTGAATGCTGAAAACCAACCGCTGCCTTACCTGGATAGACGAATCCACTACAGCAGCAGGATGTGTGGAAAGAGTAGCACTCACACATGCATATTTAAAAAGAGGGGGTTTGCTTCATAGCCTCCAGCTGTGCTTTTGATGTTGCTTAAAAGCTGCCTGTTCCCTGTTTTGAATCTCCATGATTAGCAGGTCAATACCCCAGCAGGTCACTTTGTTAAGTACTTATAACCAGCAGAGAGCACAGTCATACAGTGTGGCTGAAAGACATCCTTTTGTGCACATGTTGCTCTGCTTTTAAACCGCTGGTTTGGTTTATTGAATTAAGCTGGACACATGAGAGTCGGTGGGGATTGTTCGTTTTTGTGTTGTAGTTATCGTTGTTATTAGACATATTGTCTGCAGCGTTAGCTTCAGTGTGTGTGTATGTGCTCGTTTGCATGTTTTGCAAAGGTTGTTGTGTGCAGCTGTGCTTCCTGCCGTCTCCAGCAGATGTTTCACATCTCTGTTTCTCCACCTCCACCCCCACCTCCTACCAACGCTTTTGCTCCAAAAGGACCCACAGTGATCTTATTCAGTTGGTTTTCTATTTTATTCTCTCATCTTCTAAGTTTCAGTCCAAGAACCACTATTGCGTAGGGACGATTTTATAAATGGTATTATTTGCAAAATATTTTGTTTGTTAAAAAACATGTATGATGAGTGGATATGAATTTTCACAAATTCTGAAACTGTTTTGATACTGTAAGAAGTCAGAGGAGCTTTTGTGTCAAAATGCAACAGGATGGTGCTCTGACTGAGGTGATTTGTCACCCGCCTTTAGCAGAAGGGAGAGAACCATTTCTCCTTTTGCTTCTTTTTTGTTCTCTGTGAAAATGTGGAACTTATTTCACACTAATACGCTTTCATTTTCACGTGGAGTAAAAACTCACCAATCCACTGAGGTACCACTTCGTTCAGTAGCATCAAACCCTAATTTCCAATCTGGGCTCTGGATAAGAGATGAGTTTTTAATGGAGAGAATGTCATGCCTGCTGGCTTCCACCCATCTACAACTCATTTACTTCAGTGCCTTTGCTCAGCTTGTTAAAGCCGATACTCTACGTGCGCAGAAAAGTCTGCATCCTCCACGCTGCAAGTCAATGTATTCAGTCCAGGCTCTCACAAAGTTACTGCAGGCTGTTTCTGTGCCTGTGGCGTCAGGGCTATGTGGTCGCCTTTGAACACATTTTTCCCTCCAACATTGTTCAGCAGCAGCAGTGACTTGCCAGAGACCTGCCGATCCCGAGGCTGCTGGTTAGCCTCGCTGCTGTCTACCTGTTGATCTCCCTGATGAGGAACGAGGCCCTGAGGCTACCACTTTACAAGAAAAAGAGGAAGCACCTTTAACCCTGTTAAGCTCAGCCTGCCACGTCAGACTGCTCATGTTGGACCTGCTGGCGAAAAGATTGCAAAGCTGGTCAGATTAAGTAGGATGAAATGTCCCATTATCCCTCCTCGGTCCTTGGTCAACAAGCTGCAGTCCCCCAGTGGAAAACAGCTAATTTTGAACAATATCCCTATTTTTTGTCGCTTCTCCTCCTCCTCCTCAGTCTGTCCTCAGATGACACCACATCATCCCCCACATTGCTCAGCCACAATTTACCCAATTGTTGATTTAGAAATATGGTGTACTACACAATTACCACGCATAGTTGTGCTTTTGAATATTTTTACACGTTGGCAAAATGTGTATTATCTAGTTTTCATACAATAGTTAACAAAAGATAGACATAAACTGGATTTTACTAAAATTAGTAAGCTCCACCCCAGTCACATCTGTTCTCCATTCTTGCATAGCGCACATGCAGTGTGCAATGGTAACGGTGTCTATTTATCTGTTTACTGTGATTTCTTGTTCTTTATCCTGAGGCAGCTTGTACGCAAATTTATGTTGATTCATAACTTTCACATGCAGCTTTCATAGCTAAAATCATTAAAGTTAGATGTCTTTATTTTTCTGCACATCTCACCTACACATTTGCTTTTGTTGTTATGTTTCTGCCACTTTGTTTTATTGTGCAAAGTGAAAAAAATGGTCTATTTACCACTCAGCATGCTTTAATTTCAGACAAGGTGGAGACAAAATTTGGATGTTAATTAAGGTAACCTTGGTTCTGTCAGTTGATTGAAAATTCTGTCTCAGTCCAGCTTTTTAAATGTTTTAATCCAACTAGTTTTGAAGTCTTAAATTCATAGGCAATGGCAACCCATGGGATGCCATGCTAAAGGACTGAGGCTAACATTAAAGCCAGTCCTTGTATCATAAATTACAGATTATGCTGTTGCATTATTCTAAAATCGCCCCATTTACCTGCTTAGCTTGCATATTGTTTGTATTTGAAAACAGTATGTTTTCACTTTTGAGACAGATTATAGGATGCTTGCCAGCCGATGTGGTTTGCAAACATAATGCAATGTCAGTTGTTAGAGCGATTTGCAGGTTGGCGACCCCTGTGAGGTATTATAGAGGAATATTTAGCCGAATCTAATTATTTGACAAAAACCTGTCTATATATGCACTGTATTGACATACACATTGTTTTTTGTCGCAAAATCGGATGCCTACCTCAAAAATCATCCTGGTTTTGATGTCACAAAGAGGAAACCAGCCAAGCTAAATCCAGTTTAACAGTGAGCAACATGGATCCCCACAGTAGCTTTGACACCGAGGAGGTCGATTATTTCTATTCATATTCATATGGCAGACCACAGCTTTCTAATTATGAGCCTGGCACATGTCACAGAGACCACGACCCGACAAGGATTAAAAGAATTGATGGCCGTCAGCAAGAAATTCATTTGTAGTGAGAAGAACTAATGGAGAGATTGGAAGGTTTCTTTGCGACTGACTTGACATTTGATTACGTTAGCGCTGTGTTACATCACAGTACTCTAAAGTTGTTTTTTTTTTTTTAATCACTTCGGAATAAATCTAACTAATGTTGACTGCTTAATACTGGCAGGACTGTTGATGCTTACTGTGACAGAAGTTAATGCACGGAGATCAGCTGGTATCAGTCATTTCTCACATGTCTTACAGAAGCCAACACTGCGTTTTACAGTATCACATGGAAAAGAGAGCAAATTAATTTAGAGGTTTGCGAACATAAAAGACTTCTAGTGTACAGTTCATGTTTTTGTTGTGCTGAACCATTGTTCCTGCTGGCGCCAGTACCAGTACCAGACGCTGGCAGCAGGCACCATGACTACACTACTACATTGTATCTTCATAACCATAATCCTGCTGTTTAAAATGAGCACTGCACACAATGTGTTTTTCATTACAGTTGCAGCAGTAAAGTCTCGACTCTTCACCTGCACAAAACTAGCTCAGGCACAAACGGTAGCTCAGTAGACAGGCTGAAGTCTGTGGGACATGCACAAACAGTAATTCACTATGATAAAAAACTGTAAAATGCAAAATAAGTAACAAGAAAGGCAAAGTTTTTCTTCTGAATTTCTGCATTTATGTCTCATAAACAAAATAATTTGAGCATTATCTTTGAAGACAATAATTTCCATTAAATATTAAGTATAAATTTACTTAAAATTCCAACTGCAAATTGCTCTTTAAGTGTTTCAATATTGTTTATGGAATGTAAACAAATCCAGTGAAGTGTGGGACTGTGCTGCTAACGTTAGCATAAACTCCAGTAGCATCCAGGACTAGTTTCTGCACTGTACAGAACTACTACGCAGTGGGTGTGGTAGTCGTGAGCAGGCTGGTTCTGTAGTTCGTTAATGTTAATAAGTTTCGGCCTCAGAAGTCACACTTGGTTACTACTGAAGACAGTAAGCTAAGCTAAGCTGAGCTAATTAAGCTAACAGGTTCAGCTTACAGTCGAGTAGACAAACACAGTCTAATCCATTTCTTAAGCATATGCGCTTGTGTTTATTATTGTGTTTGCTTGTTGTGTTCATTATGTCATTACTTTCATTCAACATAGATATAAACGGGTTAAAAATGTGGCTTTGTTGTTTTGCTTCATTGTTTTCTCCTTCTCCTATCTTGTATGAGTCTCACTGAGCTCACACACTGAGTCTGCAAAAAGTCCAGCTGCTTCTCTGTGTTTCATCTCCGTCTGCTGCCTTGTTTGCTTGTTAATGATGTGATGTGTACCATTTTAACATCAATAAAACATTTCCATATTTAATTTGGGGCGTTAGTGTAATTGTTGTAATAAACTGCAGCGGTAGGAAGGCTGGTGGCTTCCACACACGATTTTTCACTGTCAAAATTTGTCGTCCAGTTTTTCACCGGATCTTTTAGGGAGTGTTGTTTACACCTGCCATTGCAACCTCCCCAAAATGAATCAAAAGTGACAAGCTGTGACCAAATTTCATTGTTTTGATGACAGAGTTAGACTTGGTTTCCTAGTTTTTGCCTCGGCTGTGGACTTTACAACCCTAATTGTTAGAGACTGGAGTTTGTCATGCTATACACGCACTCTCTAACCTGTGCATTTGTGTTCCTTAAGTGTCTGTAGGTGGTGCAAATCGCTACTAAATACATTCGTAATCAATTTCAGTTATTTAGAGCTATTTACTTCTCATAGGATTGGCCAAGTTGAATTTTAGTGAGCGTGAACAGCGTCTGTGTTCCCCTTAATTAAACATTGATGGGCTTGTTTTACGGCACCAGCAAGTGCTTCTCTTCAACTTATTCCAGTTGCACTATTCTAACTGCAGGGGTTCAAGCATTTCATCAGCCTATCTAGTCAGAAAGTACACTAACTTTTCTGTTATCTTGTATTAATTTTTATCTAATAGATAAATATACTTTTTTATTTTGAGAAGAGAATGCTGCATCACAACAGCACACAAGTCAGATTTACTGCAAACCATCATTTCTTCCAATTTGCCAGTTAAATAATAATATATGCAAATTTCTTTTGACACTTCTCTAAATGTCTGTTGTTTTTTTTTTGTTTTTCGTTCATTTTTTTTTTTTTTTTCGGTTCTTTTTTTTTCTGTCTTCCTTCCTCTTTCTGTCTGCCTATTTCTGCAGGGCCATTGTGTTGTCACAGTGCAGCTCGCTGATGAAGAGCTGGCTACAGATGAGGAGGGCGTGGACTACTTCCTTCTGTTTGCTGGCAGTACACAGAGGCACCTGACCAGCACCCTAAGGAGCAGTCATGACACCTTGCAAGCGCTGTGTCCCCGTAAGCCACCCCATCCACAATGCCTTGCAGCTTCCTTGTCACCTCAAATCGACCGACCTGTGGGAGGGCAGCTCCACCTACAGCATTTAATACATGCTAAATCTAATTTGAATTCTGCTGTTGTGTTTGTCCAGGTTAACTGGTTAACATGTGCCATTACATAAGCTATCATGGTTAAATAACACTAAAATATAGATCTGTGAAGGTGTATTACATACCGAGTGGCCATTTTAGCACCTGTACAGGCTTTTATAATTTTGTATTGCATTAGTATTTACATACTTGAGGGCTGGCTGAAAATTGGAGACACCTGTTCTCAGGCAGATGTCCATGCTAAACCTTTATAGTCATGATGAAAGTAGACTTTATGACAGAGCAGCTGTATTGAAGTGCATTAGATTGTACCTGAGTGTATCCTGTAGGCCAGGGACATACTTTGGAAGATGGAGTTAAAATACAGTCATAATGCTCCAAAAGACTAAACCACAAGTAGTTCCTGAGGGTTTTTTTTTTTTACCCACTGTGGGCAAATTTTTCCCAGCAATGTAAAGTCTTACTCCTCCACAGAAACAGCACAACCATGGAAAGAAGTAGAGAGAACTCCAAATGTCTTCTGTGCACTATACCACAGATATAGTGCCATTAAAAATCAATTCATACGTACATCTCCAGTATTCTCTGTGTAAACACAGAATGCATATGGTTGAAAAGTCCCCAAGTTTTTGTCAGATGACGGAGAGTCACTAATTGCAAAAATCAAACCAAAAATGTGATATTAATGAAATTTCACAGTTTTGATTTTAGATTTAGGGCTGCAAGGTGGCTCGGTGGTTAGCACTGTTGCCTCGCAGCAAGGAGGTCGCTGGTTCACGTCCTGGTGAGGACACCAGGCTCTTTCTGCAGTTCGCAGGTTCTCCCCGTGCAGCGTGGGTTCTCTCCAGGTTCTCCGGCTTCCTCCCACAGTCCAAAAACAAGTTGAGGTTAATTGGTGATTCTAAATTGTCCGTAGTTGTGAATGTGAGTGTGCTTTGTTGTCTGTCTCTAAATGTGGCCCTGTGATAGACTGGTGACCTGTCCAGGGTGTCCCCTGCCTTCACCCTAAGTCGGCTGGGGTAAGCTCCAGCCTCCCTGCAACCCTAGTGAAGATTAAGCGGTGTATAGATGATGGATGGATGGAAGTTTAGATTTGACAAAAGTTTCCAGTTTTCGAATCATAGATTAGTAGATTAAGGATCGTCAAAGAGTCAAAAGTCCAATGATTCTTTCTGTTTTTACAGTTTCTGGCTCTGATAAATGGTGTAATTCTGGCAATTTTTTAAAATGACAGGGGATGACAGGGTTAAGATACATATTCAGAACATCAATCAAAACAACCCAGAAAGTGACTACTGGGTGGCTATTTCTCTATAACACCATGTGCTTTCGCCTAAATGAATATTAAAGGTGGTAAAGCTTGCCTAAAGAGTATAGATTCTTTAAAAAAGTAATTGTATGTAAGAAGAGAATGTTGTTATTCTGCCCTCACATCACACAGAAAGTGTGGGGTAGTCAGTAGTTATTATTGCAGTAAAAAACAATTAATCATCCACTACTACTGCCCTCATCTTTAAACGAATGTTGTGTTATGGAGAGAGAGAAATCCTCTCACTTTAGGTTTTCTAGAGTCTGGTTCATTCTGGCTCTTTGAGCTTGTGCTCCTTTTTCTACTTGCAAAATTGAACATATTTATCCAGTGCTGTTTGTCAGAGATACTTATTCTGAGGTGAATGTAGGAGCGACAACAGGCAGCACTGAAAGTGTCAAAGATTACTGTACGCAGAAAATAGGTCGTAAAATTATAGTGTACTTGTGACTCTGTAACAATTGTTGATGTTGACCAAATGCCAGGAAAGAAATGCAATATGATTTTAAGAAACAAGTATAAAAGATATTACTGAAGTCGATGTTTTCCTCAAGTGTCTACCTCCCAGACAGGGAAAAAAGAAGGCAGAACATGATAAACTGTTTTATCTTGTTAAGAGCTCGACTGAATTACAGTCATCTGAGGGGGGGTAGGAGGAGGAGGTGTGACTCTCTTCTAATAGATTAGCTCTGCTTCAATGCTTCCTCCATCAGGCCACTCTGAGCTCCAAAGGACCGAGCTGTGACTGAGCTTGTGACTGACCAGAAGGTCGCAGGATAGAATTACCACATGGCCTGGGAAAATGGTTGTGGACTCACGAAAACACTACCCTGGCTTAGCTTGAGATGCTCTTGAGCAAGGCATTTAAGCATTAATATTTATCAGGCCTATTATTTATCTTAATGAAAAATATCTTATGCTGTTTATTATCTGAGTGTGTAACTCTGACTGTGTTTGCAGGGAAATATAACACTGATATATAAAGGAAAGGTTTGGTAAATGAGTGGATGTGACATGATACTAATTTGTTCCTGATGCAGAGAGCATTGGACGTTCAGCTCCTGTTGGTTTTTTGTAGAGAGTAGAATACCAAGGTACAATATCCACAGAGTTTGACTAGGCATTTGGGAAGAGAGTAAATTAAAGCAGAACTTCACATAATACCCAATAAATTAGACGCAGGAAATCTGTCAGCATGGCATGTATTTACAAAGCAGCGATGCAGAGCCTTTATTCCCTGTGTTATGAGTGTTTTGACATTGGCCATGTGTGCGGACTGCAGTCCTCTTTGTGCATTCTTTTTGTTGTGACAGCTGAAACGTCATTTGCATAAAGTTTCATTTAGCTGATAACATGTTGCGTTTGTTAATTTGTTGCCAGGCCATGTTTGAGTTGTGACTGAATGGCTATTAGTCAGTTAAATTGAACACACGTGTCGTTCAGTAAAGTAATGTTCTGATATATTTGTCATAATTAGGATTTAAATTAGCAGTGCAGGTCTGCACTATTGTACCTCATTATTGTACATTATCGTCACACATGGGGTTCACCATTTGACATAAGTAGTGCCTTTAAAATTACACAATAGCTATTTAATTGTGCAATTAGGTTAACTGAATGAAATAATTGATGGTACATGTAGAAGTGAAATATAAACTTGACCGCCTTGCCCTTAGTTTGGCTCATTGCATTAGTAAGCTCACATTTAGATTTGTCTTCACTGAAAAAGCACTGGAGTTACTGAGAATGTTAGCGACTGACTCCTAATAGCTCTGTTTTGTTCAGGTGTGCTGGGAGGTCATGACATAATCTGAGACTGAAGCAGCTAGCTGTTTAATCAAACTCATCATGGCGTTAGTCAATAATAAAATATGTTATATTGAAAAAGGTTCAGCTAAACTGCAAGCTGTCTTTATACAGAGCAGGTACAATATCTATAACCTACAGAGCCATTCATGGTAACAGTAGTGTGCCCATGGAAGTTTCTGTGTTATATTATTAGTTTTAACAAAAAAAATAAGTCCAAATATGTAACTATGATACACATTGGTACGTTTTTAGGGGTTAAATCAGTGACCAGAGGGGAACTTCAACACTCATACAAGGGTATAGCAGACTGCATATGGTCAAAGAACAGTGAACATTATGAACGGCAATTTAAATCATGTACACAGACACTCTGATAGCATAGACTACAACCTATTAATCTCTGTGAAAATGCTGTAAACAACAGTATAGTCTCTCCCTCTTTCTCCTTCTTCTCACTCTTGTTTTTGTGCCTCTCCTCATATTATCTTGTAGCTCACGACTGCTGCGAGGCGGTGTTGGTCACCTTGTGTTCAGTCGCGCGAGGAATCCCTGAGGCCTCCGATGACCCAAAGTCCTGCCTGGGTCGCGTGGCACCATTGGCCGAGCATCGATTCAGCTTTGTTCAGGATTTGGCTTTTGACATGGCCCAGTTTCTGGTGAGCAATAAGACCTGTCATTTTCATTCCAATGTCAGCAGTAAAATAACACAAAACTGAAGCTTATCACAGAACGGGAAAAAAATGGTTACCACTGGTTACAAGTGATACAACAATGTGGGCAGATTGACAGTAAAACAAAAGACTGCCATGTTATTGTTTCTTCCCTGACAAGGCGTAATGTCTGACAGTCCTTGGCATTCAATTATTGAATTCTTTTCAGCACAATTCATCATCCCATAGAAATTTAATGTTGAGTTTGCTTTGCCAAGTAGGAGGATAAGATAAAATAACTTTCTTGAGCATTCAAATTTAAAGCTTCTAATGGAACATTTTTTGCTTTTAAAATCTGAACATGCTTTGTTTTTGTCAACACAGCGCAACCCCAAATTGAGCTCAGTGCTGATACATGCATGCGGATGTGTCTTCCTGCATTTACATTTTTCATTATTCATAAGCATTTTGTTAAGGCTCTTATGCTGAGCATCTTAAAGTGAATTCTTCCATTAGACTAAGCCTCAGTTCCTCCTCTGTAAAGCCTGACTCATCTCTGTAATCACCCTCCACACAGGTGAGCACAGCGGGCCGGGTCGATGGCCTCGACGGGGCACTGCTGCTGGATGAGTGTCAGATTCCCCTGCAGGAGTGTGAACGTCTGGACGAGAACCTGGCACTGGCCCTTGACCACCTTGTTCTGCCTTCAGGATGGAGCTTACTGGGAAACAAACTAACCAACAGCACTGGTGAGACTGGAGGGCAGTGGACTGTTTGTACCATGTAATTTCCTGACACAGTAAAATGTCAGAGAGTCAGACAGTGTGTCTCTGCACAGACGCAGGAATATACTGACAAATTATAGTTGCCACACAGACATAATGACGCATATGGCACCTCTGTTTGTGTGTTTGTCTGTATGTCACATGTAATATCTTTCATAGCCTTGACCAGATATCAATCAAACAAGGAAGACCCATCACTCTGGGTGTTATGTTGCAACATTTTCAAAGCAGCGCCGCTTGGCTTATGAGGGACACGAAAATTACTAGTTAAAAGACTTTGTCACTCATTGTTGCAGCAAAGCACACATATTTAACATATAGTTTAGCGGTTCCAGGATGTCTATGTGTGCATGTGTTTGCTTTGCGTTGTGTTGTTCGTAGAAAGGACTCCCATTTAACTTCAGCCCTTATAGATGAATGTTCGGGTTCATTTTTATATTGCAACGTCACTCTCATGCATAGCCTCCATTACTACAGTTACAGAGTGGAACTGGACACATTTCACAGTAAGACAGTGGGAGCATTCATGTTTAGGCTGATGACAGTCAGCTCTTACACTCCTGACAGATGAACGTAGTCTGTATGCGTGTGGAGGTTATCCAATTTGACAACAGTATTCAGAAGTTGGTTATGGCACAGCTTTTGGGAAAGAACAATATTAGGACACAACTTCTGACTGACCTTTAATGTCTGTAAATATAAATTAGAGAACTAAATCCAGCATTAATGATTTTCTAGCTTATGATTTAAATCACCAAACTTTTTGCTCTTTCTTTGTTTAAAATAGAAATGCACCATTTCATATAAAATAGATGCACACGATACAGTGTGTTTTTAACCAGCTAATCGTCCATGCCAGAGATAACTGTGGTAATGGCTCACCTGTGCACACAGATTGCTCTTTTGCTTCTCCAAAATATGAGCTGGGACTTGTAGCATCCACCTTTCATTCCCCCCCCCCAGCATCTCAGCTTGTTGTTATGTAGCTTATGCATGTAGCTGCCGTAGGCTATGCCATTGCTGACATGTGTCTCCTCAGAAATGTAAATACAATACAAGACAGCTGTGACAGAGATACCACACAGAGGCGATGTGATACTAAGGGAGCTATTATACTGGCTGTCTTGTGTGGAAAAGCTGAAAAAAAAAAAGATTGTGAACCCTACCATGGGTGGAGATGAGGGTGGTATTGTCCAAACAGCCTTGAGGCCAGACATTGTCATCTGATGTGAGCAGGCGAAGAAGGTCATCCTGGTTGAACTGACTATCTCACGGGTGTGTGATGAAGCTCGTTAAAGAAATATACTAAGTACTAGGACCTTGTCCAGGAGTGCAAGGAGAGTTTGCTGTCAAAGCTGGGTGTGGAGGACTCCCAGTGCAGTCCATGCTGTTGATGATCACTGCACTGGGAATATCAGGGAGAGGAAGGATAACAGCTGTAGGTAGAACTGTAAAGGCAGCAGAAAGAACTTGCTTCAGGCTGTGGCATAGAAGGCACATGAGCTGGAGGTCTGGAGCTAACGGGCAGCAATGTGACTGCCATTGCCGACCTGTCAACTAGAGGGCCCAATACAACAGTATTTGCACCCTTGTATGTAATCAGTAAGCGGTGATAAAACTGGTTAAAATCCAATGCAAACAATGAATAAAAGCCTAGTTTTGACTGGAGCAGTAGCAAAAAGACAAAACTTTTCATGTGCTATATCAACAAATCAGCATATGTACATTTTTACTTCTAGATGATTAAAAAAAAAATAAATAAATAAAAATGATCGCCTGTTGAGCTCTGCTTGGCACTGCGAGACCATACACATCCTTTATCTGTGAAAGTTATAGGCTGATCTTAATGTGGTCAGTGCAATTGGTAGCTTATATTTATAGGATGTAAAGCACACACACGCTAAAGGAATTAGTATGAACAAGCAGAGCTGAGCATGTACTGCTGAAGCCATGGCAGAGAGCCGTTTGGATTGTGAGAAACAGCTATGTCAGTGCAAACAAAGATACATTTTTATTAAAGTTAAAGTGCCAATTTTCTCCAGCCATTGACTCTCATCAGTTAAAGGAAGCCAAACGAGCCGATGTGGATGATAAACTTTTCGAGGTAATTGCTCACTGCGAAACAGCATAAACAAGACTTTTGGGAGTAGTTAGAGCGCTGCCTCTGCCTCTGGCTGTTGCTAAGATAATAGCTTATGGTTTAACTTGGATTTGGAAATTAGACCAAACCAGAAGAAGCAGCAGAATTTTAGACATAACTGACAAAAACTGAAGACTCAAAGTATATTGCGGAGATTGAAAACCCACACAGTGCTTAAAATGTTTTATTCATTATTGGTTTTCTAGTCTGAAAAGAAACTCATCAAATCAAATTTCAGTAATGACCTCCCTCCCGATTTGATAGCCCAAGATCCACTTGTTACTGTGAAAAATGTCTGGGCTTTCTAAAGATGGACATACACACGTACACACACAGGCTCCTTTGCATTGAAGTCAGCTGTCATGATGTCAATGTGGAAGGCGGCTTCCAGCTGTGGTGAGTGATGTGTGCTCTAATAGGTTGTGCTTCACAATATGTCACTGCTTCAATACAAGACGCTCAGCTGCGGTGAACTGCAGGGAGGGAAGAGGAGCACAACTCTGCTCTCCATTTATCAGATCTGTCAGATGATGGATAGCAACAGACTATAGGTGGAGGTGACGGTGGTTTATCTCAGTCATCCCTCACGCTGTGGACACGCCGCAGCCACTGATCTCACCGTAGCCCGCCATTTATTGTCGTCTGGAAAATTCACTCCAACTGGAAAAACTGTGCATGTTATTAAAAATGGTTAACAATTTCCAACTGATTCACCAGTTTTGAACAAGTAACTAAATTCAAGGTGAAATTATCCTCTGGGTTGGCTCACAGTACCATTCCATTATGTGGTTTAACAAGTACAAAAGATAAAATCCATAGAACTAACTAAACCATTTGATAGCTTTTTAGTCTTCAGCTGTGCTTGTGTGAGGCATAGCAGTGTGTTCTTGTATTAACCATCTTAGTATAGTATTTTAGCAAACATTTGCCCATTAGCAACAAACATAATGTTGTCCTGAGGTTGATGGAAATGCTATTTATTTTTTAACCAGTAAATGATGATGGTGCTACATTAAAAAAATGTCATTAAATAGTTGTCAAGACATTTTACATAAAACCTAAAGAGTTTCTGGTAACCCCCGAGGAAAAGTTAGGAGCTTGCCAAAGTCGGTAGGATTCATCCTCTGGTTGTCACGATTAGACTAAATTTCATGGCAATCTATCCAATAGTTTTGGAAATACATCAGTCTCGATCAGTGTGTTAGACTGTCTGACAGCCTGATGCGGCCATCCCTAGAGTCAGGCTGCTAGGAAGACTAGAACCAAAACAAATTTGAGGATTTAGTGATTTCCTCTGTTTTATGTCTTTTTAGACTTAACTGTTTTTGCAGTGTTGAAAAAAAGTGCAAAACGTTAATAATTTCACTGGAGAAGAAGCATAGGCTGAATATAAAGATGCATGAACACTCTGTGATGTCATACATGAGTTTATAGAGGTGCAGTTTTGAAGCTTAGTGAAGATGTTCCAGCCTTCAACATCCTGGCAGTGCCTGACTTCTCCCATCTCCTGACTTGTGCATGTAAGTGGACAGTTGGCACAAATGATGAAGTTAGCTATGGAGACCGAAACCATTCAGACTGTATACCTGTATTTCTGATCTAAAGTTGGGTATTTTAACAATGGAGTCTCCAGGGTTTGACTTGCATTTTGGCCATTCAGTGAACAGCAGTTTTTGACACTTCTGCATTGGCTCGATTTTTCAACACTGGAGGTCGCGGCTTGATAAGAAGTAAGGAAAACCCTTGACCGTTCCATTGCTGGTAAAACTAACTAGCTAAGATCTTTACCAAGACATATTAAAGCCACTTTGTTGGCTCACACTGACCAAACATTCTGTAAATTGTATACTGCAGCAGATAGCTGGAACTACACGTTGACTTTAGTATGAAAGTAACACTGCTGTCAGTTTTTTTCGGAACCATCAACAAACTCAGCTGCGAAGCATTTCCTGCTGCTGTTTGGCACCTCACATTCCAGCCCAGCTCGGCCAAGTGGAGCATTAAATTTGACCAATTAGCTTGAGGTTCATCAGGGCAGGCTGGTTCAGACTGGCCCGCGGGAAATGGACTGAAACCTCTCATCAGCGTACACAACCAGCATTGTAAAAGTTGCCTAATGATTATTGTTGTGCTGGAAACAGAGGAAAATGTGTTTTTTGCCCCTTTGATTGTTCTGTTGCGGTTTTTAGTTATTTTTTTTTCACTCTTTTCCAACTGATGATATCTTGCAGTTGAACTCTGCACAAGGCAGCGTTAAATAGTCTTACAAGGAATCGGAGAGGAAGTGCTATATAGAACTGCTTGTCTGTGTCTAACCGAAAAACCATTAGGTTTTCCCTGTTTGTTCAAATAAATACCTGGTTTGCTGTATGAGCACCGAAGGCAGCAAATTCTCTGCTTATAGGCAGTGACAAATGAAAGCTGAAGAATAAAAATCTAATTAGTTTTCTGTCACTATAAATAACCACAGACCTGCTGGTTTGATAAACATTTGCATTTTAGGTGCAGTTTACTGACTCTGCATTACAAGACATCTGGGTACTGAAGTTGAACACTATATTCAACTAGCAAGCTTGCAATGTTGTCTAGTGTTTTAATTTGACAGTTTTGACTTATTAGGGCTTTTATCTCTCTCTAGCGATCTGTATGTCCTGCTTTTCATGGTGAATTCATCATTTATTGCACTCCAGGACTCAACTTCCCACTCATTTAAACAAGGGCATCCTTATGTCAGCATGCCCTTTCAAATTGACTATAAATTTGCCAGTGGTTGGGCAGTAAAAGAGATTAATATCAACAGAAAAGTTTGGGCAACTCCTGTACTTCCAGAAATGTTTTCATAATCTTTCCCAGAGAACACAGAGAGAGATTTAATTACACAGATTCAACTTGAGATGAGAAGATCTCCAATAGCCACCAGCCACTCAGCCTGGCTTTAGCACTGGAGGATGCATTACTGGCAACCTGTTGCTCTGGCAGAAAGATGGAGGTGTGTGTATGTGTGTGGGTGCCCATGAATCTCCGTTATTGTCTTGGTGGATGTTCAGAGGGGAGGGTTTCAGTGTTTGATGGTGTTATTAGGACTTCGACTGATATACTGAGACTATAATGGACTTAAATTAAAAATGGGAGTCTAGGGCACTTGTATGTGGCTCACCTTTGCTGAAATGAAATGGTTCTGTTTGATTTAGTCCCTTTATTATTGTTGCTGTGATTTGTTTGTTTTGTTATCACATGTGAGATGCTGTTTTAGAGGCTTTTCCTGAGTCACTTGAAGTGGCAAAACCTTGACATATTCTGTAATTTCATGCACAATTAGTCAGCTGACATACTAGATTTAAATAAAAAGCGAAAGTTTTGTTCTACAAATATCTGAGTGGGCCCATTGTTGAAGGCAGCTTGACAGGGACAAGCTATGATTTTATCAGTCTGTACATGTGTAAAGGTCTGTTGTTTACTGGGCCACTGTGGATCCTGTACTGGTTTAATTAGGAGGCACTGTGGTGTTGCCAAGCTGCCGCAAGTGATGGTATGTTGGCTACTGCACCACAAATTGGCTGCCTGGACTGCTGCACTCTCTTTTTTTTGTTCCTTCTGTATTTATTTTTGTATTTGCCATCTTCTGTCTCTTCCTCAGACCTGAATCCTCAGGAGACTCTGCTGCATTTTTCAGCACGTCGAGGTCTCTTTCGTGTTACGCACTTCTTGTTGCAGCAGCCCGGAGCCAGAGAAGCCCTGCGATTGTCCAACAGACAAGGCTGCACACCGTCTGCTATCGCGGCATCACGAGGACACAAATGCCTCCATGAGCTCCTAACAAAGTAAGCACCAAGATTATCCTTTAATGATGAGCAAAGGCTGTTTTGATTGTACAGTCACAGAAATGTTCTATTTAGTGTTACTGGGAATCGACAACAATCAAGCTGATGTTTTATATCCTGACTACACTAAAAACGGGCTCTTTCACAGCAACTATGTCCTCACAAGGTCTCTCAGTTTGTTCAAACTGTTCTCAAACTGTGTGACAGCTCTGAGTTTCAGTGAACATTGGCCTCTTCTCTATACAAACAATTGCATGTCAATATATCAGAGGTCACATGGCGTGGTTCCTCCTTCCTTTATATGAATGTTGTTTGTCTGTTGTCTTCACAGAACAATAGAAGTATTCAAAGAGCATCACCATGAAGCCACGCAGCAGCCTAGCTTAGCACTTTCAGCTGCCGTCGGATAGTTGAGGGCAAATTGAAAAGTTTGTGGGCTGCCAGTATTGTTCCGAGGCGAGCCAGAGTGATGGGAAACTATTCTACAACACAAAAGCCGCGATTCTGTATTTGCTAACCTGTCGTGGTTTCCTTTCCAACATCTCACTATGCACATCTCTGCTTTAATTCACACACACTGCAGTGTTGTCTCTGCACAGTTTAATGGCAAAGAGATGTGTGTGTGTTTAGTTTGGAGTTGCAGGTATCATCACTTGTAATGCCTTCTTTCTGAGTGAATAGTGAGGTCAGATTCTCTCATTCCTTGATAGTAAAACATTAAACTGCAGAGGAAAAAACTGCTTTTTAGTAAATGGGCTGAGACACAGCTTTAAGTGGAAATGGACCACTTTTATGTCTTTTAAGCTCTCTCCTTATTTGTTGCAGAATAGTTTTCACTTAACTCAAAATGAAGATGCCACAAGCTGAAAGACAACTACCACTTAGTGAGCGTTCCTGTTGCCAAGCTTGCACTGAAGTTGCTTTACAACCTCCAGCTCTCTCTTTATGTGTTGGTAATTACATTTCCCTCATGAAAAGTGAAGTCACTTGCAGCCTGGCTGGTGACCTCAGCCGCCGGGCCTCAGAGCTAATGCAATCCACCCAGGATTACGCAAACAGATCTCCCTGACTGGGAGGTGTCTCCCCTTTACAGTGCTATCTTTATGAAAAGAAACACTGCACATACTTTACCTTCAACACTTAAAGCAAATGCAGTATGGTGGGGGGGAGGTTTCTTGGAAAGCTTTATCAACTAGGAGTGGTCTTAAAAAGGGTATAACAGGGTGTATTTTACTGCTGAGAAGGAAAGTGTCATTTTTGTTGGACTGGCCACAGCATCTGGATTTTTTTTAAACATTTACTAGATGCTTGATAGAAACTCTATAGATTGCTTGATTACCTGCTAAACTCCTAGAAAAGAGTTTAAAGCAGTAAAACTTTGTGTATTATTGAAGAAAGACTGATGTGGACTGGCTGACATCACTGTTAAAACCTTCTCTCAAATGCAGTTCTGCTCTTTGTTAGCCAATCAGACTACAGACTCTTCAGGGTGATCTAAGTGTTTATTTCACGGCAGGGCTGAGACGGACGCCGAGACGGACAAAGGGACTGAGACTGTTCAGCTGGGGTCTACGGACGCTCGGGTGTTTTGCCACCTTCCCAGACTGAACACACACACTCTGACGCTGAACATCCACCCTGGGCACGACACTCCGACCCTTCAGAAGAGTGTGGAGCAGCTGTTGCACTTGATACGCCATCTACATGCCAAGGTGACTTGCGCCACTTTGCCCTTTTAGCACGCTATCTCCACTCATGTTGGCTTTATTCAGGAGCTTTGCCGCTGAACTTTGTTGGATTGTTTATCTTTTCACTGGCCTCATTTTTTTAACCTTCACGCTTCGTTTGTATAACCAGCGGAACACCTTATGCAATCACAGAGTTGGCTCTTGATAAGAACTAGAGAGCAGCTCTGTTGGTTTCTGTAAAGGAAAAGCTAACATTTATCCTCCTCTCTTTCTTTTTTCTGCAGGGAGTTTCTGTTCTGGAGCTGCAGCTTGATTCTCTGCACACTGCTGCTGAATGTTGTGATGTTGTAGAAACGGAGCTAACCTGTCTGGAGCGACTCCAGCAGCCTGCTACAGCATCACAGTGCTTGGACACAACAAGTGAAGGGAACAGGGTAGAAAACTGCCCACTGGAAAGCAGCAGCACGGTTGAACGTGGGCCTGGTGAAAATGGGAATGCAGAAAAAGACAGGAGTTTGCCTGTGAGTACACCAACATCAGAAATACGCCCCCAGGAGCATGGCCTTGGCCCCCCAGAGGACTGGGTGTGTCTTAGTTCAAACACTGAGGGAGATTACTGCCAAACGGAGGAGGAGGGAAGAGAACAGCCTGTTGTTTCCACCCAGAGTTTGAGCTTGTGCGACAGGAGTGACGAAGCACCGAATGAGGCTGAAGGGGAAAGCGTCACTGTGGGAATCCTACCACCAGCAGGTTGTGGTAAACAGGCAGAGGAAACTGATAGAGGAGAGGCTGTGATCCCGGAAGGACGGGAGGCCAAGAAGGGAGAGGACAGACCTGAACAGGAAGCAGAGGACAGCACTGCCAGGAGCAGGGAGGAGGAAACTATCTCAGAGTCAACAGATCTTATAACCAGTGAAGATACGAAAGCGTCAGTCATGGGCCAGTCGCCTTCATCAGACTGCTCCCAGGTTTCAGACACGTCTGATTCTGAAATGAAGGAATGCTCCCAGGAAGAAGACAATGTCGGGAAAAAAGTAATGGAATTTAGCCAAGAGCTCTGTGATGGACTCTTTCTAGATGAAGACAAAATGCAGAGTGAAGGGTTAACAGACCCTGTATCAGCTCTAAAGGACCTCCCCAACCCATCGATCATAGACTGTGGTGATGTAATCGGGGAGCCTAAATCTGCTGTTCCGTGTCTCTTGATAGAAGGCCTCCATGAGGGGGAACCTCCACCAGACATAAACAGCCTAGAACAAAACCAGGAAACAGCTGGTAGGGATTACGCTATGGAGCAGCAGCGAGGCTTGGCTCCAGAAACTGGTTGTCATTCTGGGAATTGTACTGGAACAGTGAGTAGTGAAGAACTGGATGGTGGAGATGTAGCTGAACCTTCTGGATACAGTATTGAGAGTTTACCTGTGGATGAGACTGAAAATATGCCTGATTTTCGGACAGCTGGCAGCTCCGTAGTAGAAACACAGTTGGATCCATTAAACTGTGAACTATCACCTAAAAGGATGCCGACTGAAAGACGCACTGATAATGATTCAGGCATGGCCCATGGCCTCTCCAGTGATGATGACGGAAGTTTCAGATCAGTTGAAAGCTCTGTATCAGAAATATTTCACCCCACTCAGGATGGTGGCACAACGGATGATCAGGACTTGCTTCAAACCAAGGTGGCTGAACCGTCATCAGGACTCAAGACTGAGGAGACAAATGATCTAAAACCAAATGAAAGCAATGAATGTTCTCTAACTATGGACGTAGGGCTCCCCTTTGAGCCTGACACTGTTAGTGCACAGACAGTGACGGACTGCAACCAGGATGGCATTAAGCCTGAATCACAACTGTCACCCAACATCCAGACAATGGAGGCTTTGAATCCTGAGGGGACAGAGAAACTGTCCCCGGAACTTTCCAAAGAGGATCTGTCGTTAAATCCAGTGCTGTTGGAGAGTGAGGACGCGACAACAGTGGAGGTCGAAGAATGTGAAGCTGGAGAGATCAACGGCTCTGACCTGAATGTTGGGACTGAGAATGCTACATCAGAGTTGGACAGTGGGGTCCCATTTGAATCTGGCCTATTTGTCACAGAAGAGAATACAGTCATTAGCCCAGTTGAAGAAGATGTTCAACTGATAGAGACCAGGGATAAATCTGTGGTGGTGGAAGCAGAGGAGAGTGGAAATGTGCAATTTTTGCTACAGGATAATTCAGAGATGACGGCAGAAGAGAGGTCACCTGAAAATCAGATCACTCTGGATGTGAGTTCTTTGGAAGTAGAATCACCTGGTTCCAACAGTAAAGGATCCACAGAACCACTCATTGAGAAGCAGATGGTTCAAAAGACTTGCGATGCAGTGGATGGAGGCTTGGAGAGCTGCAGCAGTGCAATCCAAGGTGGGTAAACACTAATTAGTTTCAGTCCTTCAGATTTATTCCAGTTCCACACACTCATATATCACGGGGCAATATGTTTGTCAAAGTCTTATTCCTAAGCAAATATGCTAAATCAGATTCAGTCCTCTTCTGGTGATTAATGGCAAAAGCTCCACAAAGTTAAATGCCATGTAGATCACCATAATTGTGCTCAGAGGTTTTTAGCTTTTGTGTGACATCCTGTTTTGATATATTACTGTTGTGATGACGTGTTGTGCTTGATCTTTATGCTTCCCGGGGCTAATTGTCCTTCTTATGAAGATTTAGCATTCAGCTAAGAGAAGGATTTAATTATTGTATTTTTAAAAAGAGGCTATTTTAAAATAATCTGATCAAAGGTTGACATCAGCACAGTAGTTTGGCCATATCAGTTCACGCTGGGACACTGGGATAGTTTGTGAAATGTTATGTAACAAGAAGCTGGTTTAAATCGTTGATACCTTAGGACATGATTAGTCTGACAATGATTTCATTTAAATTCATATGTTCTGTGTTAGACTTCGTTACATGCACATTCTGGCTACAGTATGTCAGCAGGCGCAGTCACATTTCCAGTGCATGTGAGCGAGCCAGAAGGCTGGGTTTTGTAAAACAAACATACACAAGCCAGCTGATGTGAGTGTGGAGCAGGAAGTGAGAACTACCGAGCCTCTTGTCTTTAAGTGGACTTCCAGCACTCCTCTGTCGGCAATTTTCACTCATCTGAAATAATTGTACTGGACCCAAGTCCAATAAAGAGAGGTCAAGGGCAAGGTTAGTGCTGTGCGTCACACAGAGAGTGGGGTGTCATTATGAATCAGTGGATGTATTTACAGCATGATGGGGGCCTCGCATCAGGTAATATTATCGACTGTGAGAGACAAGCTTTCTGTTGTTTCCTGGTTTTTAGTATGAAGATGTGAATATTTAATCTGATTCTAGTTAATGCCTCCACACAACACAAAGTCATTACTCCTTTTTTTTTGTTATGGAGAGCAATTTCGGAGACTTTTCATTTCCTCTAACATTCATCAACTCATATTGACTTACGCAGTCATACCATGATAAATTCCTTTAATCCCCCTCATAATTATGTAGTACCAAAAACTGGACCATTTGGTTTCTGTTTTTATCATCAAAGAATGATTAACTCTTTTCCATTCAAATGGTTAGTGCCCCTGTGGGGAAATCTGTCTTTCAGGAAAGTTTTACTAGTAAATTAATACATACATAGACAAGCTGCTACTTCACTATTGTACACAGTGTGTAACTGATCAGTACATCTGCAATGATAATAGAGCAGTCTCCGTTCTTTTTACTCTGAACACTTGCTATTGATTCCTGTATTTGTAAAATTTACCATTGGACTGATTGCATTGTGTTGTCTGCCTTACTCCAGAGGAGGATGTCATCCAGTCTGAAGACACTGTAAGTGAAGCAAGAGAGGATGAAACTGCCCCAGCAGAGGGAACTGACATCTCCATGGTAAGCTTAAAGTCTCTGTTGTTGTTTTCTGCTATCAAGCTCTGATTTGTTTTAGATGTGAGGTCGATTAACACCAGTCTGATGTAAGTCTTTGTTTGCTGAGGTTTTGTTAAAACCCTATGGATCTTTTATGAAGATGTTTTGAACACACACACACACACACACACACACACACACACACACACACACACACACACACACACACACACACACATACACATCACGCATAATAGTTACATTGATGGGTACAGTAAACATATATATTGAACATGATGCAAGACAACTTTATGCTTGCAGTTTGTTGTTGATTTAGTCAAATATGGGCAAGAACCGATCTCACAAATAAAATGCAATGTTGGACACAATTCAGCGGACTGATTTCTGATCTGTTCAGCTTAAGAGTTCTGTGTTATTTCAGCATGGCCAGGCGATGTGACGATGTTTGCTCAGGCCTGTATCTGCACTTGAGTAGAATCTAATGAGAAACATACATGAAATAATACATGCAGTTAATGGTCAATGGGCTTTTTTGTTGCTAGTTTGACTTCAGTTACAATGTTTTGGTAGAATACACAGGTCATGACTGCAGTGTAATTGCATGATTTTGATATTACTTCAACAGTGACGGTGTTTAGCATTGTATTAGGAATTGAATCCTTTTTTTTTTTCTTCCTGTTTTTTTTTTTAAGATTGGCAGGAATATCCAGGGTGAAAAAAAAATACACCAAAAATTTGAAGGGAGAAGGAAAGGCAGGATGTTCTCATAAGCAGCTTGATGTGCCAACTAGATATTTGCAGAGATTTCAGGAGGAAAGCTGTCTGGAACATTCTTCCCTTCGAGTAAAGTCTTCCAGCTTTGCCTGGTTTTTGTATTTTTTGGTTAGTGCAGTCATTCAACAAGGAATAAATTACTCTTCGAAGTGTCTTCATGTAAGATCTATACATTTGATTTACTATAAAATCTGACGAGTTCTCTCTGCTTCGTCCTGCGGGAGACTTGTTATGCAGTTCATTTACTGAGCACATGGATGCGATCTTCAGCAGACGGGGCTTTACTCTGAAATGTTGCTGACTGACGGATTCCTCTGCAGCCATAGACTGGAGTGGCTCAGCTTATTCCTGGGTTGTGGTTTAGGTCAGTGGCTTGTTCTGAATGCCAGATGTTTGACTGCAGAAGGATATACACACAGTATGCAGAATGGAGGGGTCGCCAGCAGAGGGAGATGTAACCTCAATGGCGTCATCGTAGCTTTTTCCCATTGACCAGTTTGACCTGCCATTTGATCTGTTGAAATGTCCTTTAAAGTCTTCCTTCTATGATGAGCAGGAAATTTGGAGCCATGCTGGTGTTGAACAAACTGCAGTAGGAGTTGAGGTGGAGACTGAGGACACATACTCAGAACTTTTCTTTAGCATTTTAATTTACACTGAATAATCGTCACTCTTCGATGCAAAATGTGTGAGACATTTATAACAAGACTATGATTAATAGTATTCCAACAACCATAATAGTCAACTAGTGTTATTTAAATATAAAATGTAATAGGTGAAATGATGTGTAAAGTGAAATTAAACATAAGGAAAATGTACATAAAGTGCAGTGGATTCTGAAACTTGAGACACCATACAAGTAAAAAAGCTAACAGAATAACAAACGAAACAGATGAAAATGAGCCTATAGGGCTAACTCTGGCTCATTTACAGTCGTTTTTATGTAGATCAATGAGCAGTGTTGACGCCAAATGAATGAATAAACGCAACAAAACAACAGAATCTAAATGACAGCAGAAACAGCTAGCCGCACGAAATGACATGTAGGGTTAATGAAGTAATTAAAACCACAAAGAGTGTGTCAATGTTTTGACGGCACGTAAGCTGTTTAGTCAGTGGATAATTTAGTCCTGGATGTTTCAGCATGTGTGACATCTTTTGCATTTCATATTTTAGACTTCAGTTGCTTGTAGTAGCCAATTGGCACAGCAGCGCTTTGACCCATAACGTTCAGTGCTTTTCAGAGCTCTGAACATATTTTTCATCAACAGCTGTGAGTCTGCTGAAGTGCAGAAAAGTGTGAAACATTTAAGAAAAGAGGATGAGATCAATTTAGATTAGACTTCTATTATTTTGCAAATGGCATTCATATAAATAGAGGCATGCAGCGAGTGCTATAAGAGAAGAGAGCAAAAGTTAAAAGGCTCTAGTTGGAGGCCTTTTCAGTAAACACATTTGGCATCTAATGTTGCTGTTGTTGTCACAGTATTAATAACCAAATAGGTCAGCAAAATAGAAACAACTTTTAAATATTATTTGCTGTGTTAAAAACAAGCGAGCATTGTGTTGTTTTTAAATTTAGAATGAATGTCACAGCGCAGCTCAGTTACTAAGATGTTTCCATTTACTTCAGCTCCATTTGTTTCCTTACTTTGGTCATGGATGCTGCATAGTTCCTTTGTTCCTCTCATTGAAGGTAGATAAAACAGGACACTATTCTTGGCAAGGTTCAATTCAAGTGGCGAAGGTGCCATATGAATATAATTTAACAATTTATTAGAACTAACAACTGACCTCTGACTATTAAAGCAAGGCGATGCAATGTAGAGACATTTTGTGAAAAAAGTAGTGTAATGTCAGGTCAGCCATGGATCAGGTTTGTTCTTCTGCTGTGTTTTAATATGACTCTGTGTGTGTGCATGTGTGCAGTTTCTCCTCTTCAGAATGTGGAAAAATGGTGCAATGCAGGTTGGGAGGTTGTTCAGGGAGTCATTTACTTTTTGGCTTCCCTCTATGAACTACAGCCGAACAACATGCAGTCGGTCAGTTTTTAAAACAAACAGCTGCTTTTAATCAAAGCCTATATATTCTCTAAACATTGTGGTTTATTTAGTTCATTGTTATCTCCTTGAACAATAAAACAAGTGGTGCTCTCTGAAGGTCAGAGTTTGGATTGGGGGTGAGCTTCATTTGTTTGTGACTTCAGGGACTCACACCTTTGTGTTAAACTGGCCAGCAAGGACCAGGGACATGTCAGAGACAGTCTACAAACTGCAGGAACAGAGATGCATTTATATTCATCTAAAGGTCCTTAACTTCAGTGGTTGATTATTGATGTGGTGGAGCACATATTTTTTAGTTGTATCTGCAATTTATCCCTTTTGATTTGTTAATTGTAAGTAAAATCGTTTGGATTTATTTTCCAAAAGGAGCATAAGGACATGCAACTATACAACATCAAGGAGCAACCAAGAATCTGAATATTCACAGATGATTCTGTAGGATCTTGTCCAGCTGCTTTCCTTAACAATTGTAGAGAAGTAGCACATCTCCACATGTTGTCTGAGTTGTATTTTTTTTCTTCATAGCTAAAATATAGGGGTCTTTAGCCAAATTACATTTTTACACCTCTGTGCCAGCAACAGCCAGAGACTTTATGTTTTCAGGTTGCGGTCTGTCATTCTCATTAATGATATCTCAGGAACACCTTGAGGGAATTTTGGCATTCAAGGATGAACTGATTACATTTAGTGGTCAAAGATCACTGTGGCCTCACGAAAAGCACATTTTTCGCCATAACTCAAGAATTCATACACTAATTTTGTCAAAATTTCACACAAATGTCTATGAGGATAAAATGATGATGTTTTACAACCCAGTGGTCAAAGGTCAGCATCACAGCGACAACATAACGTTCTGCAGAGGCACTTTTCTGTCCATTATTTAACATCATTACTCAGGAACAGAAGGAAAGATTGTCACCATATTTCACATTTGCTGAATTGGTGACACTAATCTTTGCTGATCACTTTAAAACTGTTGTGATTGTGTAGATCTCCTGTGCTGATGTGTGTCCATAGTTTCTTTGCAGCACCATTCATGTTTAAAGTGATGACTACTAGCGTGGCTACAACTCTGCGTTCTGTCAGAATCAACTTTATTGACCAAACGTGAACACATACAAGAAATTTGACTTAGTTTTCTGTTGTTGTTTTGACAGTTCAAAATCTTGGCTACATATAATATTTGAGTGTGGACAGACATGGATGTAAACGGTAACCTGATTAGCTGGCAGAGGCACACAGCTGTGAAGCAGTAATTCGAGTTTGCAACTGTGTAGGTGTGAGGCTACGCATATATTTAACCATCTGCACATGTGTGAAGAACATCTCGTCTGTACACACACAGAACTGTGTGCGCTTTTGCGGTCCACCTTGTTGTTTGCATGTGTGCTTGTATCAGTGCTTCCTGTATGAACTACTGCTTTGCCACAGGAAAATGAACGGCTTCGGAAAAAAAAAAAAATATTGCCTTTGAGCTTGTTTGGGGATAAAAGATTAATCAGTAACTTAATATGCAGTTAGAAATAATTAGGGCTGGAAAATTTATTCCTCCTCCAAGGTGAAAGCCAAAGCCGACATCTGTGATCAGTTCCGTTTGTCTTTCTGTCTGTTTGTCAGCAAGATTACTTAAAAACTATCAAGCTGAATTTTGGTCAGATTAGGTGGAGAGCAGGGGCACAGGATTAGGTTTTTTTTTGTGGCTCTGAATCACTTTCGTTAAAATTGAGAAACAGGGTATTTGCCTTGGTGTAAGATCTGCTCTTTGAGTGCCCTTCTAGTGTCCACCAGAACTGCATCATATATGATATGATGATATATTCTTATTGTTTTACATGTTGATGTGTGATTTAGCATACAGTTGCCATAATGTACATATATACACAATAGATTCAAATTAATTTCAACTATATCGCCTTTACATAATATACTGTATATAACATGTGGGCAAAAATTTGTAGTGTGATCTGGACATTGTCTGAAAAAAGGTGCAATCCCTGAAAGAGGCGTTTCACAGATGGCCTCAAGTACATCCTCATCCAGCAGGGGGTGTCGAATCTCAACAGCATCAATTGTGGTGATTGAATCACATTAACTGAAGTAATAATGCCCTACTGTCATCTGTCATACTTTAACAATGTAGTACTTTGGATGACTGATTCACAGGGT